AATTTATGAAGATTACCACTGCAATAAGCTATTTCTTTGTCGTAAAGTATCTGCAATGGGGAACCATGAGTGTACGACTAGCTTACACGATTACAGGTTCTACTCTGTCCTCCAACTAAAATAATACTGCTCTAACTTTATTGTCGATGGCAAGCTTTAGGGATCGTAATGCATGATCACATTCCTTGTGCCATCCAAAATGTAGTTCCACTTTAATGAAAGCCAACAAATGGTGTTGATATTTTCGAGAAGTTGACCACAATTCGTCAGTAGTATGACCAAGGAAACCGCAGACTTCTCTCTTAATGATGGATCGAGATCAATCTCTCCACAACTATCTTAACCAAGTCCACAAAGACTCCATCTCTCCCGAAAATGTGACCGAGAACTTCCCATTCACACGAGTAAAGATTTTCCTGGTTTTGGTTTCAAGCTTGCCTTCTATATGAACTGGAATATCACCTTCAAGTTCTCAGACGTGAACTCCAAAGTGTGGCCAGACATAAAAACATCATAGATGTAAACCAGTCATCTCTCCCATTGCAGTCTTTTGATCTTAAGCTCCATCAGTCACTCGAAAATATCTGATGCGTTATACAAATTGAAGGACACAATGTTGTATTTATATATATCATCTAAAAGCAGACTTAGCTCTAACCAACGACCTAAGGTGTACTGGTAGCTTTATATTTGCTTTCAGCTGTGGTGTGATAGATACAACCACAGTGTTACCACTAGCACCTGTTAATTCAGCTTCACTTACCATGCATTTGATCATTTCAGCATCCGGTTGGATAGCTGATCGTCTGTAATTACAAAGCAACACAAGGTATTCTTCCTTTGTTAGGCAGTCCAATGTTTGAGCTAATGCTGCCTGCTTTCTAGATAGGAAACGATATATTTTATGAGTGACTTCTATAACCGTGTTAGATTTTTTCTGGGTTAAAGTATGGATACTATTTGCATAAATTAAGGTTCTCTTTGCTACATACACTTGTGCAGTCAACTGTTCCTGGCCTTGATTTGAGAAGCATTGAATGTCTTTCTCGCGGAACATCATCTCACCCATTGCACAGGCAAAACTGACTGTGAAAAGCTGCAGTAAAACCATTTAAAAGATTTGTTTTTTGTTTTGCTAGCGTTATTCTTAGTTGTCTCTTTCTTAAAGGAGATGGATATCTCAGGGGTCAAAATGTTATTTTGAACCATACTGTTAAAGGGTTTTCACTTAATGTGTAATTTTCATTGTTAAAGGTTTTCTATATGCATTGTCATTGTTTAAGGACTTATGTTTTTTTTTTTAATAATATATGTAATTTTCTTGTTCTGTTTTTGTCATGCATAATCTATTAGATTACCCCTCTTAAAGGGAGAATATGAACCGTGTAGCCATTTTTCTTTGTAGTATTGCTAAGCATTGTTGGGCAAGTGATTTTAGTGGAGAGAAGACGAGCGATTCCATTTCTTGATTCAAACATGATTAAAGTTTGATTTGTTTGTTCGTTTTAGAATTAGGGATGGTTGGGTCAACCTAGATATAAAGGGGGGGGGTACAAATGTGGTACAAGTCATGTGTCTTCTACTTCCTAGTTCATGTGGATTTTTTTCTTTCTAAATTTCTGTATTATCTTTCAGTTCAGTTTGTTCAAGTACACACATCCCAGCTTTGCTTCTTGTTAGCCTTGTTCGGGACTTCGTTTACTAAACGTTAGTTAACAGAGGAAGATACAATAAGTCATCCAGGAATATAAATCCATCTTTTCTGTGAATCACATGATAGTATGGGGATCCGCTCCTGTGATCGAACACGAGTGGGTGAAGATCACGTGCAGAAAAGGTTTTTTTCTTGGTGTAAATCTGGCTTAAGTTGTTATTGTATTTTCTAGTACTAAAAAGCCAGATGATTTTAAAGTATTTTTGGAAGATTTAGCATTGTTTTAGTTTAGCTGAGATCTTAGCTTTTCTTAATTCAAAATATTTTTAACTTTTGGTTTATTCTCATTTTGTAGTTTCACTTAATCCTAGTTCACACTGGACTGGTGAGAGAAAGTGACAGCTCACTGAGGTTTAACTCCCTTTCACGCCAGTTCAACACGACCACAACAGACACAGATGCCGTTGTTTTATTTGTGATCGTGTTTTATCATTATTTGTAGTGTAAATAAAGGTTGTTCTTATGCACGTATCGTCATTCAAATCTTTCTTCATAACGAACTGTGGTAGGGGTTGAAGAGATAAACAGACATACGTCATAACTTGATATATTTCCAACCTCCAGTTAGCGGGCTCTGACCGCTCCAAGGTTTGGTTTGAATTTCGCGTAAAGCTGCACGTGGGCTATTTGCTCTAGCCGTCCATAATTTAGCAGTGATAGGGAAGGCAACTAGTCAACACCACCCACCGCTAACTCTTAGGCTACTCTTTGATCAACGAACAGTGGGATTGATCGCACATTATAGTGCCCCCACGGCTGAAAGAGTAAGCATGTTTGGAGACGGGGATTCGAACCCACGACCCTTAGATTGCGAATCGAGCGCTTGAACCGTCAAGCGATGCCAGGCCCGATCCGAGGGAAATCCGCGAGCCGGAAAATACTACACATCAAAAATTGTTTTATTCTAAAGATGATGATAATAATATCTATAAAATAAACTAGATTTTATTTTCGTAAATTGGAAATAATTTAGTAATTCTTCCAATTATCGACTATTTCGATAAGAGCAAAAATACTAAAATATAAATATTTTTTCATTATGTATGTTGTTTTTTTATATACAAATTATGAATAATGTTCTGAAATACTTGAAACAATACATAACAGTTTGTTACTTCTCTTCAGTTAGTAATTATGTGTCCCCCGCCCAGTGGCACAGCGGCATGTCTTCGAACTTACAACGCTAGAAACCGGGTTTCAATACCCGTAATGGGCAGAGCATAGATAGCCCATTGTGTAGCTTTGTACTTAATTACAAGACCCGGCATGGCCAGGTGGTTAGGGCACTCGACTCGCAATCTGCAGGTTCGAATCCCCGTTCCACCAAAACATGCTCGCCCTTTCGTCTAACGACAATCAATTACTTAAATAAAATGCAAAACAAAATATAAAAATTCAAGCTATCCGACTAGATCTGTAGCTTACTTACTCCCTTGTCACATTTATTAATAAAAATGCAAACATGCACATTGTTAAAGATCAACTCGTGAAACTTTTCTTCGAAACAAAAAAGCGCAACATAAAAACACTCTCGCTAGTACCTTCTTCGACGCTACACATGATACTTCTTGCTGGGACGAAACACAAATCACACTTACTACTCTTTTTCTTTGTATCAGTTTTGTCTTCTACGTGGTTACATTTCACGTACGCTCCCTGTGTTAGTGAACCCGGCCGGGTCTACTTCTCGACTAGTGTCTACTGTAGTCCTTAGGGTTGCCCAGGTTTTATGTTCCTTTCTTCTCTAACTTTATGAATCATAACATTTCAAATAAGATGCACTATCTCACGAGTAGGAAGAGGATCAAGACGTTTTCTTGCTGACTTTTTTAGCTAAACGTAACACCCCAAGATACGACTAAGACGACAAAATGCAGACCTGATGAATCAGCAATTTTCAGCTTCAAAGGAGAACACTAGTCTACAATATGATATTCCTACTGGCGACGTATATATCTTCGTTTCTTCATAATATTATTTGTTGCTTCTGTTAACCTTCCATATTTATATTGTCGCTGACTGTATAACATTTGTGTTTTAAAACGACGATATCTGCAACATTAATCTTTCTTTCTTATATTACCAAAATGATGAAGTATATATCTGCTCTTTTGCACACAAGACGATAAATATATTTTAGACGACTGTGCAGCTATTGCACTAGTAATAAATACAAATCTTGTGATTAGAAATCATTTGTGGATTTTAAGTTGACTGATTCTAACAAGAGGAATTATAGTTTAAATGTCTTATGGTTTGCTTGTTTGTTTTTAACCATAAAGCTACACAATGGGCTATCTGTGCTGTGACCACCGTGGGTACGGAAACCCAATATTTAATGTTATAAGCGCTCATATTTACCACCGATCACTGGGGAAGAAAAGTCTTATAATAAATTGAAAACTGTCTTTTGAATACGATTAATTTTAACTGAATATCTGGTGTTATAGAGTAATATGTGGCTTATTGAAAAAAGACAGCTTAGAATCTCAAGAGTCACGTTAAGTACAAGTCTATCGCTGCCACAAAGCGCATGTTTAACACTCCTGTTAGGTACAATTTTAACAGTGTCACTTAGTACAAGTTAACTGTCTGTTCTTTATTCAAGAAATATAATAACAAATTCAACTGCTATAGGAATGCGATTATTTTACAATATTGTTTAACTAATGGTTGGTTCGAATGAAAAACAAAACAGCTACTGTATATAACTAACACTATGAGCTACAAAACGTAAGTTACAGCCCGATAGATTTTTCTATTAAACTTACTTTAGACTTTGCGCACATAGATTTGTCATAAAATTAATAGAGAACAAACTTTCTTATATTATCTGTTCATAAAAATCGAGCACCTATAGCATTTCTAGTCTAACTTTTTAATAATCAAACATTTAACGAACTTCTTGTTTCTTGATTATAATTTCATAGCCATTCATTTTAATGCGACGAAAACATTTGTTTAAATTAATTAAGAGCCGAGTTTAAAATAGACCTTTATTTTCTAACTAATTATTTCATTTCTTTAAAACACCATTTTGAGCCTCATTAATTGAAGGAATTTAATAAGATTTTTTTTTCTATTTTCTCCAAATAACCATTAAAAAAGATAATGCTACTATTTAACTCTATGCTTATTCTTTGACAGGATGTAAGGATTACAAGTTTGGAGGTTTTTAAGCTTTATTTTAAAAAAGCCCCTGTACATAAAATCTTTATTTCGCCTTTAAATAAATTTTCTGGTTTAGTTTCTGATCTTCGTAAGTAATGTGTAAAAAGCCATGTAGGTCATTCACAATGATTCTTTATTTTCTTTTTCCTTTATTAAAATCACAGAAAAGAAACAAAGCCTTAAACGAAACTTTCACATTCAGTTTGACAAACAGGTGTATTTTGTGTGCCAGTATTTTTTTTGTATTCTTCTACTAACACCTCTCACGCTGTATACGAAATAAATTAAACAGAATACACAAAAATTTGAAACATAAACTTTCGAATTTCTTCTCTTTGATAATTGGTAAGAATGAACAAACTAAGTATCTACACAAACATTGGCAAAGCTTACGTTCGCCACACTATAATAGGTCTTTTACATAAACAAAGGACAAAGAATTGATTAACTATCATCAGGTAAAGAAATCCAAGTCATCCGCAATTGCTGAATATTTAAGCCAGTTGCTAAGCTACCAATTGTTAAAAAAAGCTGGATGAAGGTTACCCATTCAAACAATGTTTTGTTGCAGCGGAAAGAGTATCGGAAAATCTGTGGATAAAAAAGGGAGAGTTATCAAAATCAAACTATTCAATTACACGTATTCTATATACGAAGTATGTACAATTGTTTGTGGTATTTTAATTATGAGCTTTATCTTATAAAAATTCAGAATCGTTTATTTATTTATACCTTACATTGTATTTAAATATATATATATACATATAATGATTAGTGATGTATTAGTGTAAGAAGGTTTGTACAGTTATGTAATACTGTTCAATTTATCTAATCGTTTAATAGTAATGCATAACATATTGAAAACGATTATCAAGTTTCAAATTCATATAAGGCAAAAAAATAAAGATTAAAGATGATCACTACACCACACTTAATTCATAAAACAATATTAAGCAGTTAAAACGCCACCTAATATAAGTCAAATGAGATGATATATGTTTCTAAACAGTAGAAAAAGTTATGCAGAAAAACCTATACTTGAAACACATTCTAACTATCTTAAAACTGACACAATAATGAGAAAGCAACTTACCAGAAGTTAAAAGAAGAAGGGCAGAACGTTTATTCTTGCTCAACTGTTTTGGTTCTAGGTCTACTTGGCCTAGGTACTGGCTGTAGAGGGTAAGAGAATTAGATAAAGTAAAACAAGTGTCAAAAGGAAAATGAAAACATTTTATTCGTTTGTTTTTGAATTTCGCGCAAAGCTACACGAGGGCTATCTGCGCTAGCCGTCCCTAATTTAGCAGTGTAAGACTAGAGGGAAGGCAGCTAGTCATCACCACCCACCGCCAACTCTTGGGCTACTCTTTTACCAACGAATAGTGGGATTGACCGTCACATTATAACGCCCCCACGGCTAGCCGTATTCAAGAAAAAGACGAATGTAGTTTTTATAAATGAATGATAAGTATAGTTTCGGCAGAGAAACATTGAAAGAAACATTATTTAAGTCTTTTGTTTTGTTCTGTTTTTGTCCATTTTTTCATGGCTTTTTTTTTCTCTTTGGACAAATAAGCTTAGTTTAGACTTAAATATCAAGCCCAAGAATTTGATTTTGTTGCTAAAAGGTAATACTCACATGTAGATATCAGGTTTCCAAGCATTCCGCCTATACTCACATGTAGATATCAGATATTCAAGCATTCCGCCTATACTTACATGTAGATATCAGGTTTCCAAGATAACAAACCAAAATCAATGGTCAGTTTCGAAGCTCATAACGCTAAAATGCTAAGTTTATTCCCTGCTAATGTGCAGCATAGAAAGCTCATTGTGCACCTAACAACAAGCTATAAATGATATATCCATTCCTCTCACAGATAAATTATCTATCTTAGATTCTCTTTTCGCAGACGATATTACCTTCTGGTGTAGAACACGAAACTCTATCTTAGCTGTTGCCTCACATCAAACTGAGTAAATAAAAACTATATCACCTGGTGTTCAAAGCGGAGAATTTCAGTAAAGCCCACATAAAATCAAGGCTTAGTTTTTAAATGTCAACTGACTAGCAGTAACAGCCTAAAAATAATAAACTTTCTTTCAATACGACACAAAGTGAGTATGTATCTACATGTGAGGCAGAGAAACACTCTTCTCTCCGATGGACCAGGACGACCCGGACGCTGCTCAGTTGTTTCCTTGCCGTGTTTCCTGAACTGCATGATGATTCTGTTGACTGTCGAAAGCGGGATTCCCAAATTCTGCGAAATTTGCCGCTGACTTATTCCACCATCTGCTTGACCAAATATCCTTCCTCTAACAAAATCTGACAATTCGAGAGAGCCTTGAGTTCTAGGCATGTTGTAACACAAATTAGTTAGCATAAAGCAGTTAACTGAAGCAAAATTAGGTGTCTATTTACTTGTGACCTCTCAGTGTATAGTCTACACGCGTGTACGTATGTGTGTAAATGTAAACAAAAACACAATAAAAAATAACGAAAGGCTAATTTAACAATTTTACCTTTCCTGTAGATTCAAGATTTACAAAATATTTAATAGAACTGAGGTTTTCTAAATAGTTTTTAGTTTTCTTTGTTGTTTTTTTTTAATCTTGGAAATTTTTTGTTTTGAAAATATTCAAAGGTGTTGAGATGTCATTTTTTCTCAAAAAACGCACATACACACTTGTTTTCAATAAAAGGGTGTGCTTTTCGTATAATCTTTTTCGAAACAGATCAACGCTTTGTTGTGACAATTTCTCTGTACTTGGTAAGAGTTATGTCTCGTCACGTGCCAGAAGTTATGGGCGTCAAATTGTTCGACTGTTTAGAAATGGTATGAAGCAAACGGACCCTGCCAGAACAGTAGGGTACCACAGTGTACTGTATCCAGAATCCCGAAACATCATCGGACTACAGAAAACATTGTTCCAGGAAAGTCTACTGGTAGACGCCGAAAAACAACTGCATTAGATGACCGTTTTTTTGATCGGGTTAACACATAAAGATCGAAAGAAGTCTTACAATAGGAATGGCACGAATACCTTCATTACAGGGTATCCAAAAGAACAGTGAATAGGAGACTAAGCAAACAAGGTTATTTTGCAAGAAGGACTATCTGCAAACCAAAATTAATCTGAATTAACCGCCGTTACCATGTTACTTGGGAAAGACAGCATGCAAATTTAGTTAGGACATGCCATCTTTTCATATGAGTCCTGTTTCCGCTTGTCAAAGCTGATTTAGGATTCGTGTTCGTCGCTTTCATCTATAACAAATGAGGGAAGACTGTCTTTTCCACAGGGAACACTCAGGAGGTGGTGCAGTACATGTTTCGGCAGCTATTCCTCATGGTGGAAAACTTATCTTCATATCCTACAGGGAAACGTCAGTGGCGCCTCCTATAAGCAACACATGGATACATTATTTTTTCCATATGCTAGGGGAAGGTGCCACTGCCCACAGTGCACGTATTGTTCAGGATTATCTCGACCAGGAGAAATAGTCAGCAAAGTCTCCAGATTATAATCCCATTAATAGCTGTTGGGCATAACTGAGCTGGAAAATTACTAATCACGATCCTAAACCAGCTAATGTAGCTGAGTTGCAGCTCCTTCTAGTGACAGGTTGGGATGAAACCACCGTGAATTACATCAATAACCTCCTCCACAGCATTGAGAAGTTTATTAGAGTACAGGAAGGATCAACCAAGTACTGAAAATTTAATATGAACTGATATAAGATTGCAGGCGTTATTTATAATAATTTGATGTTATATTTTGTCATTACTTATGTGTTGGTAAGGTTTCATTGTGATAGGTGAAATGTTGAATTACACATCTTTCTACAGGTGTTGATAAAATTGTTTGCTGTTCTTACAAATCGTTCATAATATCCATATAATCTATCTCATTATACAAATTACATATGTAGATATTTAATACAACATGTATTTCTCAATTTGACAGTGCTAAGTGTATTTGTATTCCATCTTAATAATTACGATCTTATTTGTTATAAAATATGCAAATATTTTGGCCAAGACTGTACATTTGACTTCTTCTTTACATTCAATTGGAAACAAAGTTAATACTTTCCAAGTTCATTGCAACACATATGTATAGAGAGATCACTACCTGACAGCTTGTGAAATAAATCTTTAACAACCAACTTCCTTTTACTGAACTTCTTTAAAATTCTAAACAAAGACAACTGGCTCTCATTTCAAGTAGCTCTTGATTCCTTCTTAACCGATTTAGCCACAAGCTATTGATAGTACAGTCCCAAATGAAACATCATTCATCTCCTAATCACAGAGAAATTATACTCCCAAACAAGACCTCTCAGAATAGCATTCATCAACCACAAATAAAGCAGCTTAACAGCATCATTAAACAACTATTTAAACACCAACAAACAATATAATGGATACACTTTTGCTAATCATTCAACGCAGAAATATACCCTCAGCGTTGTAGAATAGAATAAATGCTGCAGTATCAGGAAGAACAATAAACAATATTTTTACCATAGAGTACGATTTCGTACATGAAGACGGCGATAAAGATAATTTAAACGTTTTCGCAGATTCTCTAGCAAACACCTTATCACAACTCCTCTCGACTCAGCTTTTAAACAATACACGAGTAGTTAATCAAAAAGCATTTTAACTAAAGATGAAATGCGCTGTAAAACATTTTAAATATTCTCCTCTATACGACAGTATGAACAATAGTGTACTTAAATCTTTCATTTTTCACTCCATATATGAACAGTTAAGTCTTCTATGTTATTTCTCCGACAATATCTATGTTCTTTAATTTTAGAAAGTCGCAACTAGTGGGTAATTAAGAAACCAGACAAACAATCGCGCTAGCTACAGGTCAATTAATCTTTCTACAATCAATTTTTAGAGAAAATGCTAAATTGCAAACTACTATGTGATAACAATAAGCTACTAAACGATATTAAAAACTCTTCTAGCTAACACAGATGAACTAACGATCATCCAGTTTGTCTCTCAGAAACCATTTCTAAGGATTTCAATCTAAATCAAGCTACTGTTATTATATTTTCAGATATTCTTAAAGGTGTCGATTCAATATAACATTTCGCCAGTACACACCTAAAACAATAAACATTAATTTAATACGACACAAATACCTTTTACCAACAAAATCAAATCCTTGGACTTGATAATCAAGCCTAAACTTACTTGTCCAAAGAGAAAAAAAAAGACCACAAAAAAATAGGACAAAAACAGAACAAAACAAAAGAACTAAATAAGATAGGTGGTTTCTTTCCAAAAAGGGCTGTCAAGAGGAGCATCGAAATGAATCCCAGATTAACGACTGCAGAAATGGCCAAAGTTGGTGGGATGAGCCCGAAATCTGTTCAATGGATTCTCCACAGATTAAGAACTGCCAACATAGTCAGACGAAAGAAGTGGGCAAATGATATGATGACCTAGCCTCTGGACTTTTGGTAGACCGTATTGTTCTCAGACGAATTAAGATTCGCTCAATTTTCGGACAGTTGAAGTATATGGGTCTGAAGAATGCCTCAGCAAGAGTTTTGGCTCAACAGATTGCAGCCAACTGTGAAGCATGGTTTCAGCGTGAAGGTTTGGGGAGTTGTTTGGGTTGGTGGGAG